GAGACAGAGAGCATGAGAGGGAGGAGAGTCAGAGGGAGAAGCAGACTCCCTGCCGAGCAGGGAGCCCGATGCGGGACTCGATCCCGGGACTCCAGGATCACGACCTGAGCCGAAGGCAGTCGCTTAACCAACTGAGCCACCCAGGCGCCCCTCTCCATTTCTTTTTTTAACTCGCCATCATTCGATGAAGAAATCCACCTTGTTGTGTTCCTTCCATTCTGGAGTCTCCTGCCTGCGTCCTCGTGGTGTCATCTTCATATAGTTCCTCTATCCCCCGTGTTTCCTGCAAACTGGTGGGTAGATCTAGAGGCTGGATCAGACTTAGGTTTGATTTTGGGGCGGCAAGCATCCCCAAGGTGCACCTCCTACTGGATCCTGTCAGGAGGCACACGAAGTCTGCTCGCCTCTAAACCTTTGTGATGTGAACTCTGGACCAGTGAGTTCAGGAAATGTCAACCAAATCCATTTGTTGATAACGTCCCCATCAATATTTTATGAATGGCTTTAGTGGCCATTGATGATTATTGCCAAGATGCATGGCTTCATTGGGGATTGTAAAATGGGGACACTCTATGACTTTTAAAAAGCCTTGTTTTCCCCCCAAAATTCTTTTTTTTTTTTTAAGTAAGCTCTATGCCCAATGTGGGGCTTAAACTCATGACCCTGAGGTCAAGAGTCCCATGCTCCACCAACTGAGTCAGCCAGGCACCCCCATTTAGCCATTTTTAAATTGGGTAGTTTGTGTTTTTGTTGTTGAGTTAAAACAGTTCTTATTCTTATTCTTGTCTGTTTCATCTAGGTTACTTAATGCTGGCATTCAATTTTCTGTATTTGTGGTAGGCAGATGGCCTCCCACGGATATCCAAAACCTGTGAATCTCGTGTGTTACGGGGCAAGAGGCAATTAAGGTGGTAGATGGAATTAAGTTTGCTCGTCAGCTGACCTTCACAAAAGGAGATTATCCTGCATTATCTGGGCTCAACATAATCAGAGGGGCATTTACGTGTAGAACAGGGAAGTACAGGAGTCCATGTCAGTGATGGGATGTGGGAAAGACAGTGTTAATTCCTTGATCTTGGGCTTCTGTATCCACTTTCCCCTCTGCCTGGAAGGCTTCTCCCCCAGATCGTGCAGTGTCAGCTGGGAAGAAAACCACATGGCGTTGGGACTCTTACCTCTGCCAATGTCAAGGGAACCTGGGCACAGTGTATCTTGGCAAAGCCGGTCCTGTGCATTCTCCATTCCCAGGGGCCCCAGAGATGGGGTCCCTGCACATATAAAATACCTCATGGGACGTCCATGGTCTCCATGTTGGCCAAGTCACGGATGTGTGCATGTGCTCAGGGGTCTTCCGAGAGGTCTGTGTTGCAGGTGGATGGCGAGGTCCAGGTGGGCTGGGGTGGGCGGGGGAGTCAGACTTTTATATAAACCTTCCACAAGCCCTTGGGCCCTGGTGCAGCCGCAACTGACGTCACTGGGAGCTCCACAAAGGCTAGTTGACATTCGGAGCAGGGGGCATTTGTTGCCTTTATGAATTTAAACATTTCTCCCTTACTTACGTCAGTACTTCAACATGTGAGGATTTTATCTAAATGGTTGTAAAAACAGTCAGTACCGTGGAATACCGTCCGTGATGTCAGGCAATTTTCACCCTTTGGGCATCAAGAAGCAAGGGGCCCCACTTAAGAAGCTTTTGTACAAAGAAGTCTTGAGTCCTTCTGTCATTTCCAAGCCAAGCAGGAGAAAGATCATAAATTATACACTTAGCCTAAGTGGTGTTATCCAAATAATGTGCTTCTTTCTGAAAAACTGAAATAGAATGATTGTAGGTATGTCTATCTAATCATGTACTTACTTCACCGCTGCCTTTGGGAGCAGACTCTGTAAGTAACCTAGATTCCCCCAACTGTATACATTTTGATAAACCTCAAGGTCATTTAAGCTGAAAAGGATATTCTTGGGAGTCAAGATGTAATCATACGTACTTTTTTTTCAAAACGGGAGTGATCGAGAAACAGGTTACACTGATTCTTTGTGAGGGACGCGCTCAGTTCGGCAAGCACAGGCGAGTGCCTGCTGTGTGCACGGCCCTGGGCTTGGGGCCCTGGGGCTCCGAGCTGCAGGAAGACCGCTGTGTCCTCCCCGCAGGAGCCCGCCCCCGGCTGGGGCCGTCCATCCGCAGCAAAAGCCTAAATACCACACAAGCAGGCGGCGCTGAAGACTGTGTGCACTTCGGGAGCTGAAGGCTCCCTGCTCTGCTTGAGATTCTGATTGTGCCCAGAAAGGGGTGGAACTTGCTGGAAGCCTGCAGATCCAGAAGGGAATCACATGGAGGGATCGGCTTATATAAAAGTCGGTGGAAGGAGGATTCAGGGCATGTTTCAGGAATCAGCCTGAGCAGGGTGTCTGAAGAACGGAGGGAGGGTGATCGTGGTGGGAGGCAGACAGAATAGGAAGGGAGGCTAGAAACAGCGATGGAAGACACGGGTGATGGGGAGCCACAGATGGTGTGTGAGCAGGGGAGGGAGGTGACAGACCCCATTCTCTAGGAATAAATGATTGGGGGACAGGGGGTAGGATGGATTGAAAAGGGATCCTAAGGGACTGCAGCAGACCAGCTGTGTGTGGGGGGGTCCCAGGACAGAGCAATGACAACCGACACTCTCATTGGTCTTTAGTTTTTGAAAAAGTTTTTTTTACTATAAGTTACGGAGCTCAGTAATGTTGCAGGAGTATTTCAAAGGTAAGATTTCTGTAGGAAACATTTCAAACCTGGTCATGTTTGAGGAATTAATTGCGAATTGTCCCACAGTCTGCCTGCACTCACAGAGGAGTCAAAGACGAGACAGGATCCGGATGCTTGCAATGCTCACGTGGATGCTACAACGTCCTGTCGCCAAACTGGTATCACGCTGGGGGGTCCAGCAGGATTCTGGTCTCTGGGGAGAGGCCCTAGCCAGGCAACTACATGGACCACCTTCCTGTGCCCCCGTGTGACAAGTGTGCATCTCCGGTCATCTGTGTCTTCTGTTCCCCGTTTAACTTGTACGATGTCAATGAAGCAAATATTAAGAACGGGCACCTGAGTTTCTTCACTCTCATATTCATGTCTTTTAACTTCTGATACTTTCCCAGTAATTTAGGGAACAGACTGGACAGGAGAGGATTGGAGAGAAGTTGTTTTGTCTTTTTTTTTAAAGTAGGCTCCACACCCAGCACAGAACCCAGTGCAGGGCTCGAACTCACGACCCTGAGATCAAGACCTGAGCCGACATCAAGAATCGGACGCTTAACCGACTGACCGAGCCACCCAGGCCAATATTAATGGACACACAAAATAAGAATACCTAACAGACAAACTCAAGTAACATACACCCTGGATTACCTTTACCCTCACATTTGCCTTGAAGCATGTGGGTTTAGGCTACACGGGATCTATTTTATGACTGTAAAATGCTTTATACCAGGGGCGCCTGGGTGGCTCAGTCAGTTAAGCGTCTGCCTTCAGCTCAGGTCATGATCCTGGAGTCCCAGGATCGAGCCCCACATTGGGCTCCCTGCTCAGCGGGGAGTCTGCTTCTCCTTCCTCTCGTGCTCTCTCTCTCCCCCTCCCTCCCAAATAAATAAATAAAATCCTAAAAAAAAAAATGCTTTACGTCAAATGGCCCTACGCTAGATCCCAGGAACATGGGTCTTTTTTTATTACTCTCTGCCTGTTTTTTGGATAGGGGCTAATTACAATTTTCCATCACCAATAACTCTTAGGGAAGAAAATGAGGACAAAATGGTATTACCTTGTATGTTATATCCATAGTAATTAGGATCTTCTGATTCCTTCTTGACGGACACAGCCCCCTCTTTCTCCGCCGTGCCTTTGGATGCAATGAAAATGATAAAACCATGTGTTAGGCCACAGCGACCCACAGAGAACTGTGAGCTGCTGAAACTCCAGGCTCTGTCTTGATTAACACGGGGACTCGGGAGTCAGCAAAACGACGTGGAGCTGACATTCTCTGAGCAAACGGGTAACCCATGTAAAAATATAAGTCATAGCAACAAAACAACATAAAATCAATATAAAAGGCAAGAAGGAAGGAGGGAGAGAAGGATGACGAAAGGAACAGAAGGAGGGAGGGAGGGAAAGAAGGGAAGAAGGCCGAGTTCCCAGCTCGAGAAAAACGTTCCCTTTCAAGACAGGGGCATGTACACGTGGGTTTACGCAAAACCCCAGTAAATATTCTGTAATGGGACCTAAACTGGCATCTATCTATCTATATATATTTTTTTAGTTTTTATTTAAATTCCAGTTAGTTAACATACAGCGTAATATTAGTTTCAGGTATACAATATAGTGATTTAATACTTCCATACACCACCCGGTGGCATATGTAATCTCTACTCACCTACTACAATGGAGTGGATTTCAAAATTGCAAATCCCGGGGGGGAACCAAGTTAGTGGAACCAAAAGCCTTTCGTCAGGGAAAAGTGTGGTAGGCTGCAAAACTAGCCACAGGCTTCTCCCCCACCCCAACAGTGCATGCCTGGCTTGTCTGCAATGGCTGTCCCCCTCTTTTCTAGACGTGGAGGCTACTTCTCCACCCTTTAAAGCTGGGCTCGCTTTGGCAAATGGGACGGGGGCCGACAGGATGCAAAAGCCGAGGCCTGGAAAGTGCTGGTGCATCCGGGCTCCTGCTCTGGAACTGAGTGGCCATGTGAACGAGTCTGGGCTAGCCTCCCGTAGGGTATGAGACCGTGAGGAGAGAGGCCCAGCTCTCCCAGCGGAGGCCTCAGACCCAGGAGCGAGGCCAGCCCAGAGTGGAGGGGCTGCCCAGCCAACACATGGAACTGGGAGAAAGACTAATTGTTGTGTTGTGTTTTTTTTTAAAGATTTTATTTATTTATTTGAGAGAGTGAGAGAGAGAAAGCACGCACACAAGATAGGGGAGGGGCAGAAGGAGAAGCAGACTTCCCACTAGCAGGGAGCCCGATGTGGGACTCGGTCCTGGGACTCTGGGATCGTGACCTGAGCTGAAGGGAAATGCTTAACCAACTGAGCCACCCAGGCGCCCCTGAAAAGTTCTAGTTTCTCACTAAGTGTGATGTTAGCTGTTGGCTTTTTGTAGATTTTTTTTTTTGTCCCATTGAGAAAGTGCCCCTCCTCCTTCCTACTTTACTGAAAGTCTCATTTTTTAGAAGTAAAACAAAAGAACGGAGTCAAATGATAACGTGCTAAATACTTGATTCTAAAAGGCATGCGTGTATACATACCCGTGTCTTCCATGGGCTCAGTTTTCACACTGATGGGGCCACAGCTGAAAAGAGAAGGGAACCTTTGTCAGGACAAGCCGGGTGGGGTGAGAAGCGACCACAGGCATCGGGACACGCTGTACTCAAATCCCCCGATATCCACGCCATCCTAGCCCCCCCTTCCCACTAGCGACTGAACACAAAACTAACTAGTTAATTTAATATTAACGTTCTTAGTAGTTTGTTATACAATTAAAGGTGTCAATTGAACATAGTCTTAAAATCCCCAAATCCGGGCGCCTGGGTGGCTCAGTTGGTTAAGCGACTGCCTTCGACTCAGGTCATGATCTCAGGGTCCTGGGATCGAGCCCCGCATCGGGCTCCTTGCTCAGCGGGGAGTCTGCTTCTCCCTCTCCTGCTCCCCTCTCTCATGTGCTCTCTCTCTCTCTCTCATTCTTTCTCTTTCAAATAAATAAAATCTTTAAAAAAAAAAAAAAAATAAATAAAATGAAATCCCCAAATCCTTTCGAATAAAGAATATCTAACAAAACAAGGGAAACTTCCCATGGTCTAAAAACTAACACTTCGGGGTTATGCGTGGATTTTATTTTTTATTTCCCTTACCTTTCGCTTGGCGATGTCACCGACCTCTTAGCATCTGCGGCCACCACAGGCCCACCTGTGCAAGAGTAAAAAGACACACGCTAGCGTCTTTCCGCACCTTGAAAATGCCAACGTTCAAAGGCACATAAGGTGAAAGCAAAGGTAGAGAGAACAGAACTCCAGCTCCAGGACTTACGAAATCCTACTGGGCAGAGACCAACTCAGAGCGGCCCTTGGGTCCTGGGGCCATGTGTGTGGGCAGAATGGGGGCCGAGGAATAGACTGGGGCTGGAGCGACCTCACACAAATCACTAAACCTTCCTGGGCCTCAGTTTCCTTGTCTGAAAATGGTGGTTGGGTGAGGATCATTTAATACGTACGAAGTGCTTAGGATCGTGCCTGGTACAGCCTATGAGTCGAGTAAGTGAGCTGCTAGTCTTGTGCTATAATAAAAATACAAGCCATCTGGGACAATGGTCACCTGGTCACCTGCCGCCCCTCACCCTCAGGTCCCTGCTTTAACAGCAGCTAGGGAATTCTAGGAACTTACAATTGCTCTGGAAATGGGCTTTGCTCTATGAGTAGTTCAGGCTCAGGACAACGTCACGTTGCCCTGTGTATCCTGCGTGTGCCTTGTGAACTCTACCCCACCCCTCCCCGGGGCCTTTTGTTTCTGTATCTATGTAGTCTTGGACTCTTAGACCTGGTCTCTCAAGGACAGCCACGGCCCACTGTTTCCAACTATGTTCCAGAATAAGGAAATAAGAAGTGGGCAGAGGTGGATCTCCAAATGCTTCTGACAAAATTCTTATTTTTTGGTCCCTTCACCATCATAAGTTAAGATTATGAAGGGTCGTGGGTTCTGAACCGTGGCCTCCAACACCCACCCACCCATGTCGCTTTCTGCCTGAGCACATGGGATGGGCTTCCTGGCAGAACCAACATGTTGAGACCCTGCTTAGCTTGAGAGCCTTGTCCTCCATGAAAGCCCTTCTGATCACAAAATTCTAACCCCTTCCCAGGATTCTGGGGAGGACCACCAGCCATCCTGAGAAGATCACGGGTCATCGCCAGTTCTCTGTTGGACAGTCTCGTTCTCTCTAGACCGTGAGTCTCAGAAGCATGGGAATGGTCATACCTCCTAGACCCACTTCTGAATCCAACAATGCCTAGCCCATGGTTGCGGCTCAAAGACCATGAAGTGACCCAGCATCCTCATGTTCCTGCCCTCAAGGACAAGGTCAGCTCTACTGCCCTCCGTGTGCGGGCTGTGGGAGCTTGCCGGGCTGAGACCTGGGAGCAGAATCCTGTCTTAGCTCTTGCTGGGGGGCAGGGGGGTCCTTCCCTGAGCTGCACACCCTGCCAACAGCATAACCTCCCAACCCTGGAGTGTCAGAGGTTGCTTCCTCCATGGGGAGAAGGCAAGGAATACACAAGCTTTAGAATGTGCCAAACTTGCATTTTAGTTAAGAAAAGCAGAACCGGGGCACCTGGGTGGCTCAGTGGGTTAGGCGTCTGTCTGCCTTCAGCTCAGGTCATGATCCCAGGGTCCTGGGATCGAGCCCCGCATTGGGCTCCCTGCTCGGCGGGAAGCCTGCTTCTCCCTCTCCCACTCCCCCTGCTTGTCTTCCCTCTCTCGCTGTGTCTCTCTCTGTCAAATGAATAAAATCTTAAAAAAATAATAAAATAAAATAAAAAAGAAAAAAATTTTTTAAATTAAAAAAAGAAAAAAAAGAAAAGCAGAACTGGCTTAGCAGCCAAGGACAGTCACCGAGTATGAGAAGCTGTCACTTACCTAGCTGACTCGCTGGACCTAGGAAAGGTCTGCAAGAAAACAGATACTATTACCTGACATGAACACACAAGCAAGACAGATCAAAATTCTGAATAACCAGCTTCTAAGTGTAACAGGACTTAATGAACAAACGAATGTGAAATTAAGCTGCCCATTTACCCTCAAAAGAACTAGCTGTTATGAGGGGAATAGAGCCTGCCACCTGTTTATGACGAATGAAATCCCCGCTTTGTTCTCCAAGATCCATTTCAGGGTGGCGAGACCGTAGTTCTCAGGGTGTTGAAAGGCCATGCCTTCTGGAAGCCCCTGCACAACCACAGCCCCAGGGTCTCGCAGAATCTTCTCGTACGGAACAGGCACCATTGCTGTCGTCCCCAAGGCTTTACCTAGAGGAAGAGTCCAGATGCCTTTAGAGGGAATGAACATAAACCCTACCGGTTGGTTTCATTCCGTGCAGCAAAGAAATACAGGTGGCGACACTCGGCTTTGAAGCTAAAGTAAAAGCTAAAGTATCCTGTTCCTTACAACCCGAGTTAATAAAGTTCCCAAAGGGCCCAAGGAAAAATGTATAAAACATTTTACTTTACATCTTCACATAAGAAAGAGGGAATAACAGGTCTTTTTTCTCCATTCTGTTGGAGGTGGTGCACCCAGGGTTGCAGGGAGCACCCCATGGTTATTCAGGCTGCTGTCGACAAGGCATGGGAGCCCCCACCCAAAGCTTAACCGTCCTTACATCCCTACGTCCCTTACGTCACTCTGCTCCAGTTACGCCAACTTGCCTGCAGAGAAGTTATGGAGTCAATGTGGCCTCACATCGCCATCTTGGGGCCGTGTCAGCCTTCCCACGCTGGCTGACCAGCCCCCCGGGGGAGGAGCCCCATTTCTCTCAGAGAAGGGTAGCCTGAGACCCCAAGATCCCCTATGTTGGGGGCCCCCCACAGCCAAACGCTCACAGGGACCTGGAGGTCCCATAAATATGTGAAGCTCTCCTTAAAAATGACAAACAAGACCCTGAGATGCTAAGAAAGTGCTTATATCACAACTAAGTACAACACCTGTGTAGCTATTTGGTTACCTAGCCTTTTTTTTTTTTTTTAAGATTTCATTTTTAAGTAATCTCTACCCCCAAAGCGGGGCTCGAACTCACAACTCTGAGATCAAGAGTCACACACTCTTCTGACTGAGCCAGCCAGGCGCCCCTCTCGGTTACCTAGCTTTTTTTTTTTTTTCTTGGTTACCTAGCTGTTTTCTTTTAATTTTTTTTAAAGATTTTATTTATTTATTTGACAGAGAGAGAGACAGCGAGAGAGG